CGGGGGTCCCGGTGAGCCGGGATCTGCGCTCCCTCCTCGGCCAGGGGCGGAGAAAAGAGGCGTTTAAGAAATAGAACCGCATCAATGTAAATAGATGTAGACATGAATCCATAAATAGCACCGCAACGACACGGGAGTGGGCGAGGTGAGGTACTGTGATGTCAGGCATCTGCCACCTTCTGCAAATCGTATCTGAGCACCCTGCTGTGGGAATGCGGCTTCTGGAAAATCAAAGAATGCTGCAAATTCTGCTCCGAGGGTTTTTAGTAGGAGTTTATGAGAACTGAGAGTTTTGTTTTGGAAAAATAAAAAAATTAAGCATTTGATACAAAATTCGCATATATGAATATAGGAAGAGCCTTTTCTGGCACAAAAAGCACAACTGAACATGCCCAGGACGCGGGTGGTTGATCACCTGCTCTCCTTACATTAAGAGCAGGAACGCCCACCGCCGTTTGACTGTGACACTGGGCTCCAGTCAATGCAGGTCATGCTGCGCAGGAGGAACAGAACGATGACGAGCACATTACACAAGGAAAAGCAGCTCTTCTAGCGCTGCTGTACCTTCAGGTGTTTTCCTGTGTTTTACCAACAATCTTCCAGGGACGGGCTTGCAAACCTCATGGCAAGAGCCGGGCGCTTTGCGGGGCGGCGGGCGCTGCTGCGGTGTTGGGCTGTGCCGGTGGCTGCGGCAGCAGCCCAGTTTGCTGCAGTTGTAGAGGCCAACATGTGCCCTGGTAGGGGGCACGGCTCTTCTCTCGGTACCCCCATACCCAGGGTGCCGACAGTGCAGCGTGGGTCGGCAATAGCGACTGGTTCCCACTGGGGGAGGGCACTGTTTTCCAGGACTGTTTGTAGCTGCTTATGTTTATCTTACTGCTTTTAAAATAAATCACGTTGCGAGGAGTGGCGTGGTGTTTGTTTACTGCATCCCCAGGACGTGGTGATGTTTGCGTGTGATGCGCCATGTCTTGCGAGCCCCAAAGCCTGGTGTCGTTTGCAGAGGATGTAAAACCGATGGTGCAGGTACCCTGTAGAAAGAGTGAGTAATAATGGGACCAGGCATTCAAGAATATCCCTTACTGCTGCACAGAGAGACACAGAAAAAGGAAAGCCAAATCAATGAAAACCACAAGGGAATGGTAAAGTAAGGAAATTATTTTCTCTCTTTCCAGTTACAGAAATCTCTAAATACTGTAGATTAGTTAATAAGTGCATGGCTGTACTGCTCAGATTCTCCTGCTCTCCACTGATCCACTGCAACAGAAATGATTGTCAAGTGTGATCATGCATCACAGAAGTGACTGCATCGATGCTGGAGGCACAAGACTTATTTTCATTCTCTTATAAGCTCTTGAATTGGTGAAATATTTTTTTTTAAAACAAAATCGGACTATATTGACATAAAAACCATGAACAAGATGTACAGCCTGACAAATTAACTGAACTACAGTCAAACTAGATTAGACCGGAGGGTACAGTTTGCTTATTCCTGTTCTAAAATGACATTTCAAAGCTTTACTTTTTAAAATTAGTAATATTTCTTGTTTGTAGAACAAACACTGTTTTCTGATTCTTAGAGAATACACTGATTTAATGATTCTGTGTGCTTACACAGAAATGTATCTGATTTAATTGAGGAAATATGTATTTTAGTTTTAAGCTCTCTGGATCAGTAATGCCATTCCTTTTGCTTGCATATGAGTTTTCCTCCTACTAATATTTCCATAACCCTAGTATTCATGAAATGGTGAATTCTGTTTGTGCCTTTGCTGTGAAATAGTTTGTATTAATACCCAAATAGACTGTATGTTCCCTGCTCACTTCCACTCCTTAACTTCATAAGAATAATCTTTTAAATTTTGTTGAGAGTATGCAAATGAGAAAGGCAAGCAAGATTTGGCTTGCAGTAACCTTCATATTGTACTTTAATTTTGTTAAATTGCAGTAGGATCATGTACCAGGTACTGTAGAAATTAGTAGTTAAATGTGTAGTCTCTAATACTCTTTGCTATTTATTATCCTCAAAGTAACTTTGGGATCCTCTGATAAAGGATTCTTTTTAAGGGCCAAGTTCTGTTATTATATCAACTCATTGAATTACTCACTTTTGCAATAGTAATATAAAAATAAAAAGTGACCATGGCATAGTTCTGATGAACTTTAAAATAGTCGCAATCAACTTTCTCTTTTTTTTTTTAAACTGAATTGCACTCTAAACTTTTATTGTATTCAATGTGTATGATTCATCATTCTGATGATGGTATATGTTGCTCTTTATATGTGATATTCTGTTTAATCCTTGCTAGTTACAGTAATGGAAAAAGCCATCCAAGCGCCAAAGGACTAAATAAACCAATTTCTCATGTGAAATCTTCTCCTGGAAGATTAGGCAAAAATGTATCAAGTGCCATTGAAAAGGTAAATAATTTTTTGTTGTTGTTTATAGCAAAAGGGTACTTAGTTTATGTCAGCTTCTTAATAACCTCACGTACTTTTATATCTTTTCAGACTTCCCATGACACTCCAGATGGTAACCAACCAAGTATTTTTAAGAAGGGAAGAAACCAGCTGGATGACAATACTCAGTCAAAAAGGTAATTTTATGTTAATATTGTCTGTTTAATTTGTAGACATTTCAAACTGGTATATAAAATGCTTGTGATGAAATAATGGCTTCTCTGTTTTGCCTTTGACTTAACTGATACCAGAATTCAGCATTTATGAGGACAATAAATGTAAGTTATCAGTATGGAAACTTAGTGAGTTCTGAGGCAAAATCAGAATAAAATAAACCAAAAAAAGATCAGTAGTAGGCAGTGTTGTCTGTGCTAGAAAATACTAATTTTACCTCATTACTAAGTTTCCATGCCAATTTTAACTTCATTCATGTAGATCCGTGTCCTTGAAGGAGGTAGCAAGACCTTTGTAAACTGTTGTTTCAAAGACATTAATCATTCTAACAGGATATGATCTTTCTTTTTATTTAGGATCACAAGTGTTTGCACATCACTGCACAGAGAACAAGGACCAAAGAGGAGTCTCCCAGAAAGAAGACAAAATGAATCTTTTCTGCACAGGATCCCTCCTAGCATAAAGGGCAGCACACAAGGTAGCTTCTGTAGGGTTAGAGATGTCCCAGTGCAACATTTTTATTGCAGTAAAAAAGAACAGTTGGAAAAGAATCATGAAGAACGCGTTGCTGAGGCTGGTCCATGCTCTTCTAAATGGCAAGAAGCATCTGTAGATGAAATGTTTCTTGATTTTGAATCAGTACAAATTATTAAAGAAGATGCTGAAGATGATAGTGCCAGTGATCTCTCTGATTCAGAAAGGATTCCCATTCCCCCATCTCCCTGCACGCCACCAGAACTCATTCTCAGAGCTGAAGAAATAGATCCAGTTTGTTTGGAACATGTCTCTGATATGGGTTTTAAAGAATCAGAATATTACTACCCAGACTTCCTCCCACCTCCTTTCAACTCATGGGACTTGAAGCAACTGGCCATCTTTGTTAATGTAGAAGGTAAAACTGAGTTTCGACCAAAGCCAACAGGATTTCTTGAGAAATACATCGATCGCCTCTTGCAGCTGGAATGGCTGCAAATGCAGACTGTGCAGAATGAGAAAGGAAAGGCAGCCAAAGCCAGGCCACAGACTGCTCCCGGCTCCATCCGTGCCCTTAAAAGTCCTGGCAAAGGCAAACCTTTGCTCAGCCCTTTGCCTAACAAGCAAGTGGTTCCCCAAGAAAGTGTTACAAAGCTGCCCAGAAGCTATGCAGGTCACAGGGGAGATTCATACTGCGAAGAAAGCCAGCGGTTACGTTCTCATCCAGGTCCCTTGAAACTTTCTGAGAGAATGGGATGTGCACTGACTTCTCAGAGACAATCTGGTGAAGTAAGGAGTGAACTGAAAAAAAAAACAACTGCAAAGCAACAGCTTTGCAATATGCAGCCCTCTGAGAACAGTTCTAAAATTCAAAGTGTTGGTAATATCAGACCCCCTAAGCAAACCCCAGTATTTCATAGTTCAGCTGCCCCTGTCAAAGGCTTAAAAACATGTGCGTGTACAAATCCAAAGAAAAATGGCAATGCCAACAATTATGTTCCTTCTAAAAAACCAACAGGGGACAGGAAAATAAAAACAAATGGCACAAAGCAAACATCATGCAAATTTAAATGAAGAAAAATTCATTAGAAAATGTTGATGCTTCTTGACTGCTAGAAAGCATTTGGCCAGTGCAGAAGGGTCATGTTTTCTTCATAGGAAGATCCTGAGAAAATATGTTCTCGATGCATGGTTCTAAGTCAGCACTGTTCATTTCAATACATTTGATCTTAAGCCAGCAAGGCCAGCAGGAAATCTTTTCCCTGAAGGCAAGTGTCTTCCATTGGTCTTTCCTCAAAAATATTTACAATTGCTCAATGAAAAGAACAATAGCAGAGTTTGAAAGTTTAGAGAAGTGTATAATTATAACATATCCTCCTGTTTGCACCAGTTGAAGTCCATTAAAGCTGTCGTGTTTATTGTGCTTACCTTGGTATGTCTGAGGGAAGAGGATCCATGCTCCTATAGGATGTATTTTGTGAGATGGGAGATGCCTTCTGATGGAGAAGGGCTCAACTATTTTTATAAAATAATGGAGCATGCTTATCTATGCAAAGTCAAACTAATTCTTCACAGAAGATGAATTGTATTTTTTTGATGAATTAGAGTTTTTGATAGGAAGAAGAACGGAGATAATGTTTTGAAATATTTTCACGCAGAAAGGATTCTTTTTTAAGGCAAAAAATTATTAGGGAGCAGACAGATTCAATAGCGACAGAATAAGAAAATGAAATGCATATTTTTATACCCAGAATCTTCACTGTGTTTACAGATCACTTTCCTTGAAGCTCATTTTGTCATTTAGGGGAAATGACCAAATTTCAAATTGCACGTAGATATTTATGACTAATGCAAAATAAGGTTATTACTAGAGACTCTGTGGCCTAATTTTCAAAACTGATAGCCTCTTAAAACACAAAAATAGACTCTTACAGGGTGAATTTAAAGGCTATTGTAAGTTCAAAGAAAGATATATTTTGGTACAAAAGATATATATTTTCATTCACCCGCGATGACTATTATTTATCCCATGGTCCAGTCTACTTCAGTCACCTTGGCTTCTTGTTTCAAGGTCTGGTGAAGTGACACGGGGAAATACCCTACAGAGAGAAATTGTACAACCAGGACTGGGTCCTGTCCTCAGTCCCTCTGCTTTCTCTCGTGTCTATGAGATACGAGAGAATATGAAGGATAGGTCAGTGAGTATTGAAGTGTCAGTTCACCTGCTACAATTTCAAATCAATCACGTCAGTTGGGGGCATGATCTTGTTAAAGATGAAATTCTAGAGGATGTTTTTTACTTTCCTTTTAAAATGAAATACTGAGCAGCATTAACTTCATCCTCATCCACCAGTCACAGTGAACTGTTTATGAGACATGAGCTGAGGTCTGATGGACCAAATTTTACAAGTGGATCCTTCACATTGTGATAGAAAAGGGAAAAGTAGCAAATACTAAAGAGTACAGTATGTATATAGTTAAATTGCACTTCTCTTGTTGATCTCATCTTGGTTTTAAGATGCTTAGCTGTTTCTATTCTTTCATTGTGCCTACCAGATCTTCAGCTTTGTAAAATTTCAAAGCATGGATTTATATGTAGTTTAAAATGTGAGAATATTAATAAATGTAGTAATAAACGAGAGTATTTTACAGTACATAAAAACATTGCTCAGGAATAGTCTAATAAATATTTTTAGTGTTCTTTTCCTAGTTTACTGGAGACCAAATGTGAAATTTTAGATTGATAAAGGAAATAAATGTAATATACAGTATTATATTTCCATATTCAGTATTTGTGAAGTTACAGTTAAAATGAATTGTAGTTGCATGAACATTCAGCTCTATGCAATTAAAGTGAAACTTAATCTGACATGCTCAAAGATCAAATAAATTGGCTGTGTCAGAGGTGTGGTGAAACTTGGAGGGTGGCGTTCAACACCAGCAACTGCAGAGGACCAGCACATTCTATTGTTGCTATTTCATCCTTTTGTTTTGTTCCAGACTCGTCATGTGTTTCAGCTTTTTTAGAGGAAAGGTTCTTGCATCCAGTGCTAGAATTTCAAGCTCTGGCCAAATTCTACAAGCCTTCATTAGTCAAGTTTTCCTGATTTACATTAACAGTAGTGAAAATCAGTAGGACTGCTCTTGTCAAGAAGCACTACTGTAGTGCACAATTTTAATACACTGTTTCAGTGCACTATTATAAGCACCAAAAGCGAGGTAAGCAGGATCAAGTCAATAATTAGAATAGCATTTTTTAAACAAATTCTGTTAGATTCAGTAGTAAATTTAGCATGTTATTATAGCACTGAATATTAGCGTAGAAGCTAAATTTTCCTCTGAAATGCTACTCTATATCGATGCTTTCCTAGATTACAAGGAGGCCATGTAGATACAGGCACGTTTTGCATGATCACTTCTTAAAGAATAAATAGTGTTTCAGTCAGCTTTGACCAGAGAAATTGGCACTGAGAATTTTTTTTCTCACAGACCTAGGAAAAGTGTAGTGCTTGTGATCTGATGGACATGAATCTGACGTTGGAGTCTAAAAAGTTAAGCAGGTAGAGATGGTGATGCCACTTAAAATAAGTCTGAATACTTGTTCATCATGAAGTCCTAGCTGTGATCTGGCCAAGTAAGTTTGTCTCGCATGATAATCACACAGGTCTAATTTTTGTTCATTGATTCAACACTTCTCACACAGTCTTCTTTGTTTGCCTGCAGAAATAGAAATTCTCTGATTGCCTCGACAGTTCTTAGCATGAGCAGACCTGTCAGGGTTGGATTTTATCCTGCAGCACTTCTGCTTCCATTTTAACTTGACTACATTCTGGGCCTATAAATAAAAAGAGCTCCTTTAAGAAGAGGACTATGGTTTATGTTTCCTTCATTTTGTATTGATGGATATTGTCTTTAGAAGCACTTCTGAATATACCAGAAAAGTTTATTCCATCAAATGCATTCAGTTTGGAAACAAAATACTTCCACAGCACAGTGTTTATGTAGCTATTTATATTTTTTTCACTGTGCTTAGCAATATGATCATATGTGTGTCAAAGCCTAGCATCAATGATGCTTCTTGAAGAACAAGTTTACTGTGATGTGAGATATTTAAACAGAGTGATTATTTTTTTTTCTAGATAATTTAAAGGTTTAATGTTGTGCAGTATTACCTGCAAAACAAATGCACTCAGGTTGGATTTTAAATAAACAGCCAGATTCTACTTCAGTTATACGAGTATAAACTTTGAACAATTCTGTTGTTTTCAATGAAATTACCCTGTTACAAAGATGTGAGGAAACAGGATTTTACTCCAATATGTATAAACTGTTTTCCTTAGTAATGCTATACTGTATTTTTAATGCATAACATGAAGAGTTTTAAACAAGTATTGTTTTTCTCATGACATGTTTCTTTTTTTTTTTTCCATTATTTGCATCTCTGCAGTGAAATACACACTTCCAGGGATGGGGCATCCACAATTTCTCTGGACAACAGAGAAAGTGTCCTTTCTGTGTTTCATTTATTGTCCTTTTTGTTTATGGTATCTTTTATTTGCTATTTAAAGGATCTTGTTGGAAGTTTGAGAGTATTTTGACAGAGTTTTTTTCAGTCAGTACATGATACATTTTTTGGAGCTAATATAAAATTTGAAATTTCTACAGTATGAAATTGCCTATAATGTACTGGGGTTTGCCATATTTTAAAGGTATCAAGCCTTCGTTGCTCCCATTGGCATTCGTGGATTTTCTTCTGAAAAATAACTAAACAGACCACTCTATCTGGAAAGACTGGAACTCGATTAACTGAGAATTTGCAGCCCAGCTTTTGATGTTGGTAATCATGTGTTCTTATTTATTTGAACTTTTTGTGGATATTTTTGCTAGTAATTTCATTGGAAAACAATCTTGTAATTCAAAGTTACTGTATATTTACTACATTAAAAGTGAGATTCTGCCTCTTTGTTACTTAGTTGTGTTTTTTTAATCATCCACAAGATGGCATCTCTGAATTTTTCTTTCAGATAATTTCTTTATTGCAGTGTAGGATGGAGCTTGTAGCTCAGCATCTCTCAGCTATACTGCTGCTGATGTCCAGGCTAGGTAGTTAAAGCTATATGATTATTTCTACTCCACATGGCAGTCACCTCTGTGCTGGCTGTGTTAAGGCATCGTAACAGGTGAAAATACCAGGGAAAGCTTCATCATATTCATACCTGTTTTTTCTTAAATGCACTAATCAATGAATTTCACATTCTCTACTGTAATCTCCTGGACACTTAGAACATGATCCAAAGAACAGCAAAGACGTGTAGGTAGAGAACCACATTCTCGTGTTCGTAGTATACATGGATAAGTATGTTTAACTTAAATTTCACATGCTGCCTGTTTATATGTTCAGCTGAGACTAATGAAGAGGAAAATGAAGGGAGAGAGATTCAAAGGACAAAAATGCCGTTTCCTTTTGCCGAAAATCCCTTTGCTTTGCTGTTTCTGTAATCTTTATATTAAGCATTACAAAACTTCTCTGTGAGATGTCGCACAAGAATTTTACAATCACAACGTTTTTGCTATTTGAGGTTTTCCTAATGTCTAAACCATCCTGTCCTGTGCTGCTGTTTCAGCCTATTACTCTGAATCTCAGAAGATCACCTGTCTGCCTTCCTCCCCACACTCACTTTTATTTAAAACATTGTGGCCTGTTTGATGTGATGTATTGCTTTTCTTCTCCCCTGAACAGAAGTTCAGTTCTTCCCTAAGTCTTCCTTTCGCAACTTCCAAAACACTAAATTCATTACTTTCCAGTTCTAAAAAAGAATAAACCTCCTTGTGCCCAGTAAAAGCAATACAGGAAAATGGAAAACGTTGTAAAAGTTGATTTCATAGAAGCCAGGACTTTCCCCATACCTTCTGCCACTCAGTCTTCTTTTTACATGGTTTTGAAAGACTTAATTTTTCATTTCCTGCTTCTTTATGTAGTTTTATTTATAATTTATTTTTCCCAAGCTGGAAAGGAAGTTCATCTTCAGGTATACAAGTTCATATTTGCTTGATGGCTTTTGGGTTGAACAGGA